TTAGCGACGACGCGTGCTGACGATGTAGCGCTGCGATGTGATGTCACTATCGTCCTCGCTTTCGATCTCACTCGATCGATCCCACTATCGACCTCACGGCCGGTCTCAGTGCCAATGGATCCAGCGATCGATCCCGTTGTGGTCGCCCCAGGGGAGATCGCCTGTCCCCGCGAGATCTGCACGACCCAGGGGGCGTCGCCTCCCTGCGCATCCGACAGCGCGAGAACAACCAATGTCACAATCAACCTCACTGTCGATCTAACTTTTGATCTCACTATCCATCCCAGTTTAGCGATCTCACTGTCGATCTCACTATCGACTTCACTATCGATACCAAGGCGGGAGACCCCCGCCCACCGCCCGCCCACCGTAGACGTAACACCAGGACGGGGCACCAACGTGACACCACCAGACAGCAGGGCGGGACACCCCCGACCACCGCGCGCCCACATTCGCCCAACGGGGGCGGAGGGGCGATCCATTGCATCCGAATCGCCCTAGCGACGGCGAGGTCATTCCTCTCGTGCGCCCACGCAGCTTCGCCTCGCCCGCACGCACGACACGAACACGGAACTGAAATTGATTTCCCGGTGGGGCGCTCTCCGTTCCACTGCGATCTCACCCCCCGACCTCGGAGCATCGTTATGTACATATAGCCCTATTGCAGGGAAAGAGCGCGGGTCAACCACATCACCAGCCAGAGCAGAATCGGAGGTGAGGGGGTGAGATCGAAGTGGAACGGAGAGCCCCCCTACCGGGAAATCGGTTTCGGTTTCGTGTTCGTGCGTGCCGTGCGTGCGGGCGAGGCGAAGCTGCGTGGGCGGGCGAGACGAAAGTCTCCTCCGGCTGAGGCGCGGCCGGACCAAATGATTCCTTTCCGGGGGCCGGTGGCCCGCTGTGTCCCGCCGGTGTCCCGCCTCCGGCTGAGGCGCGGCCAGAACCAAATGATTCCTCTCCGGGGGCCGGTGTCCCGCGGTGTCCCGCAGGTGTCCCACCGGTGTCCCGTCGGTGTCCCGATGATGATGATGATGATGATGATGATGATGATGATGATGATGATGATGATGATGATGATGGTGGTGGTGATGATGATGATGATGTCGATGATGTTGATGATGATGATGGTGATGGTGGTGATGATGGTGTCCCGGTGATCATGATGTTGACGATGTTGATGATGATGGTGATGGTGGTGATGATGATGGTGTCCCGATGATGATGATATCGATGATGATGATGTTGCTGATGATGATCATGGTGTCCCGATGATGATGATGTTGACGATGTTGTTGATGGTGAAGATGATGACGATGGTGCTCCGAGGATGATAATGAGGTTGATGCTGATGCTGTTGATGATGATGGTGATGATGGTGTCACGACGATGATGATGTTGATAATAATGATGACGGTGACGGTGTTCCGATGATGATATTGATGATGATGTTGCTGATGATGATGATTGTGTCCCGATGATGATGATGGTGATGAGGATGTTTATGATGATGGTGATAAGGTTATGGTGATGGTGTCCCGGTGATGAGGATGATGTTGATAACGTCGATTACGATGATGATGAGATGATGAGATGATGATGAAGATGATGATGGTGTCCCGATGACGATGATGCTGAGATTGATGATGATGCTGTTCATGATGATGGTGATGATGATGATGGTGTCCCGATGATGATGTTGATGATGATGAAGATGATAGTGTCCCGATGATGATGATGAGGGTGATGATGAGGTGATGAGGTTGATTTTGATGATGGTGTCCCGATGACGGTGGTGATGATGATGCTGATGTTGATGATGATGGTGTCCCGATGATGATGGTGGTGATGATGGTGACGATGATGATGGTGTCCCGATGATGATGTTGATGATGATGTTGCTGATGATGATGATGATGATGATGGTGTCCCGATGATGATGATGTTGATGATGTTGTTCATGATGATGATGAGATGATGATGATGGTGGTGGTGCTCCGTTGATGATGATGACGGTGTCCCGATGATGATGGTGATGGTGACGATGATGGTGTCCCGATGATGATGATGGTGATGATGTTAATAATAAAGGTGATAAGGTTATGGTGATGGTGTCCCGGTGATGATGATGATGATGATGATGATGATGATGATAACGGTGATTACGATGATGTTGATGATGATTATGATGACGTTGATTGTGATATCGATTGTGGTATTGATAGTGAGATCGATAGTGAGACCGAATGTGACATCGATTGTGAGATCGATAGTGAGATCGATAGTGAGATCGATTGTGAGACCGATCGAGTGCGATCGATCGAGCGAGACCGATAGTGAGATCGATAGTGAGACCGATCGAGTGAGACGTTGGTTCCTCCCCCCCCCGAATCTCCTTATCACCCGAAGGGTGGTCGTATAGGTATACCACCACAAAGCGGGAACGCCCATCAGACGACGACATGACCAAACCAAGCGAATCCACCGCGGTTTAAATCCCACCAGACCTTTAGGGCGTGAGTGGTTTAGGTAGTCCTCTCTGTTCTCAACCCCCTTCTTCCCCTTCGGGGAGGGGTTTACCCCTCCCCCTACCCCCTCCCCCTGGGCCTGGAGAGGGGGGGGCGCGGGTCGTCGGGGCGTCCTTTGTCGGTCCCTGGGAGGCTCATTTTTTGACACCCCTCACAAGGATCGTGGCCCCAGGGGGGGCAAATAAGTGCTTTCGTCTTCTTTGACCGATCTCCTCCAAGATGGCCCCAAGAGCGCTCCCAAGGCCCCCAAGAGCGCTCCCAAGACGGCTCCAAGACGGCCCAAGAGGGCCCCAAGACGGCCCAAGCGGCGGCCAATACTGCCCAAGAGGGCTCCAAGACGGCCCCAAGAGCGCCCAAGCGGCGCCCAAGAGCGGCCCAAGAGAGCCCCAAGCGGCTCCAAGACCGCCACAACACGGCTCCAAGTGGCCGCGGAGCCTCCCGAGGACGCACCCGAGAAGCTCAGACAGCCCAAGAGGTCCCCAAGACGCTCCAAGAGAGCCCCGAGAGGCGCCCTAAGGGGGCCCCAAGAAGCCACAACCATTAATTTTCCGTGGGCGTTTCAAACATTTTAGCGTTCCCGCCCTTTCGGCTTCCCGACTCTCCAAGACAGCCCAAAAGGCATGCAAGACCGCCCCAAGGCAGCCCAATAGGCTCCCAAGACGGCTCCAAGACGGCCCAAGAGGGCCCCAAGGCGGCCCAAGCTGCGGCCAATACGGCCCAAGAGGGCCCCAAGACGGCCCCAAGAGCGCCCAAGAGGCGCCCAAGAGCGGCCCAAGAGAGCCCCAAGAGGCTCCAAGACCGCCCCAAGACGGCTCCAAGTGGCCGCGGAACCTCCCAAGGACGCCCCCGAGAGGCCAAGACGGCCCAAGAGGCCCCCAAAACGCTCCAAGAGAGCCCCGAGAAGCGCCCTAAGCGGGCCCCACGAGGCCAACATCATATGCTTTCTTCGAGTATTTCAAACATTTTAGCGTTCCCGCCCTTTCGGCTTCCCGACGCTCCAAGACAGCAAGAAAGTACCGCAAGACCGCCCCAAGACGGCCCAAGAGGCTCCCAAGACGGCCCAAGAAGGCCCCACGACGGCCCAAGAGGCGGCCAATACGGCCCAAGTGGGCCCCAAGACGGCCCCAAGAGCGCCCAACAGGCGCCCAAGAGCGGCCCAAGAGGGCTCCAAGAGGCGATATTTCGGGCCCCGACGGGGGTACACCAATACATGCTCTCTCCTTCTTTGCCCGATGGCCTCCAAGATGGCCCCAAGAGACCTCCCAAACTCCCACAAAGAGCCCCGAGAGGGTTTCAAGACTCCCAAAGGAGCCCCAAGAGAGCCCCAGGGCCACGATTCCCTGAGATCCCAAGAGAGCCCCAAGATCGCACGGCAACGCCAGGAGGAGGATGACGAAGAGAAGGAGCAACGAGGACGAGGAGAAGGAGAGGAGGATGGAAGAAAGAAGCCAAAGAGAGGGAGGAGGAATAGAAAACACCCTACGGTCAGCGCATCTTTTTCGAGCGGCTGCTTTTGGATGGGCTGGTGGGGACTCGCGAAGCGTAAACAATTAAGGGAAGGCTTCCTGAGTACGTAACTAAGCAAGGACGGCATTGCTGTGCACTGCTTGGCATTGGGTTGCATTGCGTAGCGTTGCTTGGCATTGCTCGGAATTGCTTTGTATTGCTTGGCGTTGCTTGGCGCTGCCAGGCAACACGGAAGGAACCAAGACCAAACAACCCCTGGAAGACACTCAAGCAACAATACCAAACAACCCGAGGAAGGCTGGCCGGCGAAGGCCTGGTACCCAGCCGTTCTTCAACAACAAATTAGAGTCCGCCAGACAACCCTAAGTTGGAAACGGCACAGCAACGCACAATTTGATGACTATCGACCAGAAGTGTCTGGTTGGATTTACCAATATGAGAGCGTATGTATATCAATTTATTCAAGACCAACGTAGAACACAATAACGGTGGACATGCCATAACGGAACACACACAAACTATTTGTATGGCCAACCAACAGCAGAAATCAAAAGACAGCCTGACCCTGGGAGTGCGCCCCCCTTGTAGCTCACGATGATCGTGGACCTGGGAGCACGGACCCGTAGTGGATTACGAGGGTGTATTTAAACAAATCCAGAAGGGCTTTCCAGCAACAAGTATCTACAGGCGAGCCTGTGCAGAAAGCGCTCGAGCAGCCCTCGCTTACGAGGAATTGTGGCCCCCGACCCCTCAGAGGCAGGGGGAGTTCAACTTCCAGGGTGAGAATGGCGGCAACGAGCATCACCTGGTCGATCGCGGCGGCTTGCGAGACCGCCTAGGTGTGCCTCTTCCCCTAGGGCCCCCTCTCAGGGGGATGCTCTGCCAACACCTCTCCTCCCCTCCCTTCTCCTCTTCCTCCTTCTCCTCCTCCTCCTCCTGCTCCTCCTCCTCTTCCTCCTCCTTCTCCTCCTCCTCCTCCTCTACCCAGGGGGGTTGGAACAGCCCAGCGTCCTTGGACGGCGGCGCCCCGCGGCAACCTCCGCTGCGAGCACCGCGCGACCTGCTGCCCCCCTCCGCCGCGCGAGGTGCCGCGCGGCTCCCGAAATGGTCGACGAACTCCGCGTAGGTGCCGCGCGACTTGCCGCCTCTCTCTCTCTCTCTCTCTCTCTTTCTTCCTCCTCCTCCTCTTCTTCTTCTTCTTCTTCTTCTTCCTCCTCCTCCTCCTCCTCCTCGCTCTCTTCCCCTCCTCCACAGCCCCTATCCTTCTTCCCCACCAACTCCTCCTCCTCCTCCTCCTCCTCCTCCTCCTCCTGCTGCTCCTCCTCCTCCTCCTCCTCCTCTCCCTCCTCCTGGGCCGCCTCCTCCTCTTCCACCTCCTCCACCACCCTTCTCCTGCATTCCCCTCCTCCTCGTCCTCGTCCTAGTCGTCGTCCTCCTCCTCCTATCCCTTCTTACTCCCCTTCCCTTTCCCCTTCCCCTTCCCCTTCTCTCTCCGTCTCCCCTCTCCGCCCTTATCATTTTCAAACCCTGGTGACATCTTGGAACATCCTGGATCACCCTCTAACTCACGTGGAAATGAATCCACTCCTCTGAAATCATGCCCCTGCTTGTCACCATCCCCTTGCGAAGCCAAGGAGTGGCGAGCACAGAGGGTGCCACCCAACCAAACCATTACATGTGATACCGCTTCCGACGGCACTTCTCGAATGATGGTGGGTGGGAGCCTGGGGAGAAATATTGAAAGAGAGAGCGGGAGGCAGGAAAGAGAGAGAGAGAAAGAGAGAGAGAAACAGAGAGAGAGAGAGAGAGAGAGAGATATTCTCGGTCTTCCTCCTCCTGCTTCTTGCTCCGTGTTTTCTGCTCCCTGCTCCCTCCAATATTCCCGCCTCCCTCCTTCCTTCCTTCCCTCCCTTCTGCTCTCTCCTCCCTCTTCCGTGGTCCTCCATCCTCCCTCCTTCTGCTTCTCATTCTTATCGTAATCATTCCTCCTCATCCTCCTCCTCCTCCCAATCTTCTTCCTCCTCTTTCTCCATCTTCTCCTGCTCACTGTTCCCTCCTCCCACTCCTCCCTCCACCCTGCCTCGCTCCTTTCCTCCTTCTCCCTCGTTCCTCCACCGTCCCTCTTCTCGTCCTGGCCGTCTCCTGCCCTCTTCCCCTCCTCCTCCTTCTCCTCCTCCTCCTCCTCCTCCTCCTCCTCGTCCTCTTCCTCGCCCATCTTCATCCTCTCTCTCCCTGTATCCTTCTCCTCCTCTTCCTCCTCCTCCTCCTCCTCCTCCTCCTTCTCTCCCTCCCTGCAGCCCGAGATGGCGTTGAAGACCGCGTCCACGGCTTCGAAGCTCTCCTCGCTGTCGAGCAGTGGGCCGGTGTCGATGCCAGGGATGACCAGCGCGGCCACCTCCGGGTCCTGGTAAGGACGAGTTCATGCGGTTAAGCGATCCTTCTTTCTCCTCCTCCCTCCACCTTCCTCCCTCTGCTTCCCTCATTCTTCTCCATTCCGTTCCCTTGTGAATAACTCCTCCCTGTCGCACCCCGAGGCCTGTCGAAAGGGTGGTCGGGGCGTGTCGCCTGGGACTTCCTCACCGTTTATGATCCTGAAGATCGAATTTTGCAGCACTTTCACGGATGGAGGGCGGTCCGCTTTCAAAATGTGGCTCTCGCCTTAGCGAAGCGCACAGTCGTCTTAAACATTTGCAAGAGTTTCGCGGACGTAGGGCGGTCAGTTTTCAAGATGTGTCTCTCGCCCTACCGCCAACCACATCCTTTCTGAAAGTTTGCAAGAGCTTCACGGATGGAAGGCGGCTCCTTTTCAACATACGGCTCTCGCCTGAGCGCCGCGCACATTCGTCTCAAGGGTTAGCAAGACTTTCACGGACTCTCATGGTTAGCGTGACAGAATTTGTGTTTTGGTATGATGGCGGAATGTCAGGGCGCAGCAGTCACGCTGATTCGCGGTGTTAATGTCCCAGGAATGGTGCTCTGGCGCGGTTTAGGATCGTCAAGACGCATCAGTAACGGTGATTCGCGGTGTGGAAGTTCCAAGGAGGGCGTTCTGGCACAAGTCCAGATTTTCAAACGGTTATCTGCCAACGTGGCATGTCCCTGAATGGAAATGAATCCGTGTAGGAGCCTATGAAGAGAGAGCTTGGAGGGAGGGATAATTGCAATATCGTTGATGCGGGTCCTCCTCTTCCTCCTCCTCCTCCTTCTCCTCCCCCTCCTCGCCCTTGTCCTCTTCCTCCTGCTGTTGCTCCTGCTCCTCTGCCCCCCTTTCCCTATCCTGCAAAGCGGGGCAGTGGGTGAGGGAGGGGGAAGAGGAGAGGGAACTGCTCCACAATTGTGAAACGACGTTCCCCTCTCCCCATCCCTCGTCCTCTTTCTTCTCCTCCTCCTCCTCCTCCTCCACCTTCTCCTTCTCTTCCTGTTCTTGTTCTGCCTCCTCCCCCTTCCTCCTCCCCCTCCTCCCTCCTCCTCCCCCCTCCTCCTCCTCCTCCTCCTCCTCCTCCTCCTCCTCATCCCTCCCGCCTCCTCCTTCTTCCATCCAACGGGAGAAAAAGATAAGGATGGGGGAAAACAGCGCTCTACTTCGCTGCGCTGATTTATCACTGCTGTCCTTGTTCATGGCAGCGATGAAGCCCATGAACTCCAACCTGGAGATCGATCCACTGCCGTCCGCATCGATGCGCGTCCATACATCCTTCAGAATGCCGAGGTCGGTGTCCTCGTGCGCGGATGCCAATTCAGCATTCACGAAGGCAAGTGCTACTTGGTGCATATCAGGTCCGTAGGCGTCGAATGACCTACAAATGCGCGAACAAATCCAACTTCGCTGGTCCAATTTCGGGGCCACCAATCTCTGGAAGCTGGGCTTTCTCATCAAACAACATTTGCGGTTAAACCGCTCTGCGTTTGAACCGTGATGTGTAGATCTTCGTGCGACCTCCCCCCAGAACCCCTAACCTCACTCTTTGCCATGCCTTACCATGCTTCCTCCCTCTCTGACTGCCTCCAGCGGTTAGTAGACAATAGTCGAAATCGTCACAGCGACACCTTGTTTGTACCAACATGCTGCATGCATGCTCCCAGGCACCTCAACTCAAAAATGGTTTCAAGAATTCCCCAACACACACTCCCAAGATGGCCCCGATGTTGTCCAAAATGGCCTCAGGGTGACACCCGAAAGCCCCAACACGCCCCGAAAAGCACTCAAACATGCTCAACCATGCCCTCATGTGCTCCCAAAAACCCGTCACCGTGACCACACTGTTCCGTGACATTGTCACCGATTGGCGGGGGGGGGGAGGGGGGCGAGTGGGCTCCACACTCTGGCAAGTGGTCTGTCTCGCTGCCTCCTTCAAGGATTTCTACGCCCCCAGGGCGCCTTGCGAATTTGCATAAAAAACTTCGAGGACCCAGGAACTTCCAGGACGCTTCAAGGACGTCCACGCGCCGCCCTCCAAATGGCTCCTGGGTGTCCAGGGATTGTTGCCCTCTGAGGATCTGGAACTTCCCCAACAGCAGAAGGAAGAAGAGGAGGGAACATAATATCACCAAGAGTATGTGGACGAGAGTGTGCAGAAAGAAAGTGGTGTGCTGCAGCATTCCCTGAAACCACCTGTCATGGGCGCATGCCACACCGTGTGTGATGGGGCATGCTTTCTTTCAATCAACCTGTGGTGTGGTGCCCTCGTTTTGCAGAGACAGCGCCCCGCGTCCTCACCTTACCCCCTCCCCCTCCTCCTCGTCCCATCTCCGCATGCCAATCTCGGCACACCCCTGACACGTTTCCTGGCCCCCATAGGGAGCTCCACCGAAGGCCCCAACAGATCCCCCAAACACCGTCCATGTGGTGGTGTCACACCCGTTCTGGCACACCCTTCGCACGCTTCGTGGCCCCACATGGTGGCGCCACGCCCGTTTCGGCACACCCCTTACACGATTCTTGGCCTCCTAGGGAGCTGCACATAAAGCCCCAGAGGCACCGTCCCCATGGTGGCGTCACGCCCTTTTCGGCACACCACTCACACGTTTCGCTGCTCCACTTGGAGCTCCACCGAAGACGACATTCACAACCGCTATACTCACAACTGCATCCGTTTGGGTCCTTCGCCAACTGTTTGTCAGACTGTGGCATTCGTGGGCGAACGACGCGTCAGAAAGCCGGAGGCTGGGCCTCGGGACGACTCGTTCTCCTCCCCGTTGTCACTAGCCACGCATGGGCGGACATAGGGGCTTGGTTTAAGAGCCCTGTCCCTGGATCGACAACATGTTTTTTTCATCAGCTGGCGAAGGAGCATCTTTTTGATTGCATGCAATATGCATGAGCTGCCCCTGCGTAAGTATTCGGGCCATGGCTTTGGCGGAGGACAATGGACGCCGGTATGATGTTGAAATGAACATTGCGATATATATATATATATATATATAGAGAGAGAGAGAGAGAGAGAGAGACAGAGAAAGAGAGAAGACAAGAGCCATAATACACCAGAGATGACTCATAGGGGTAGACCTGGAGGGCCTCTTCGCACATGGAGGCTCTTTCGTGCGCGTACTATCTGGTCACGCCCACTGATTGACCATGAAAGCAGGGTGAGATATACATGACGTAACGTATTCGCTGCTGTGCGCAATTCGGGCTCATGCCGGTGCGGCCTTATCGGCCCGCTTTCGAGCTTTCATTCTGCGCTGGTATCTTGCTACCTCAGATGTCCGCTGCGTCCACGGCAAAGACTACCTGCGCCGCGGACACCTTGCACAGCTAGCGGCTGCACTAGACCTGGTTGTGCCTCAGACGTTAATCCTACCCTCTTTTTTGGCGGCGCGGATGTTGAGGACACTCCCCAACATATGGCGCCGTTGGCAAACAGACAAGCGAACTCAGGAGAAACACGGAAGGACCGCACCTCCGCTATACATTGGCCTGCGGATTCAGGCGCCGTTCCCATTCGTGCTTCGAAAAACAATAGAACCCCCATACTATTTGCAGCATCCCAAAGCCACCACCGTACCGCGAGGCACTGGGTGGAGTGTCCTCAGGCCTCTTCGAATTCTTAACATGTAGACGCTCTTTCAGGGCCACAGACACGGTCCAGAATTCTTGGCCGTTTTTTGATGCTACCAAAGATTCCACAATGACTTTTCTTCAAGGGTCTCGCACACATCCAACCAGGCCTAATTCGGAGGCCCGTCCTTGGATCCGGTACTTCCCGCACAAAGGATCAATTTCGGCCTGAGAGTTTACGTCAAGTTCCATTGGATTTTTCGTACGCCTCATTTGTGAGGCTCAAGTTTGCTTAGCCTCGCTCATAGGCCGCGTCCTGCAATTATTGTTGTGCTTCCCCTGGGTTGCGTGTCAGTTTTCTTTTTTCTTGTCGTGTGTGCTGGTTTGCGTGCATGAATGGTGGCTTGTGTGTTCGGTTCAGTGGAGGCGTGACTGCTGACTTACATGTTTGCATGCATACTTGATTGACTTTTTTTTATCGCAAGCGTCCGTGATGGCTTGCGAACTTGTATGATGACATGCTTGCTTGCTCGTTTGCGTGTTTGCGTGCTTGCTCCTCTGCTCGAATCCAAGATTGCTTGTACTCGTGCTTGCATGCGTGTTGGCGTGCTTTCTTGCATGCGTGCCTGCGTGCTTGCATGTCTGCCTGCGTGCTTGCACAGGTGTGTGTGTGTGTGTGCGTGTGTGTGTGTGTGTGTGTGTGTGTGTGTGTGTGTGTGTGGGTTCTCGCTTCTGTGGCTACACAACTGACTGCTTGCGTGTTTGATAGCGTTCATGCGCTTGCGCGGGCCATTGCTTGCTTGGATGGTTTCCAACATCTTTAAACATAGTTGTATACCATTCTTGACCCATAAGTCGTTTCTTTGCACGCTTGCTTGCAAGCCTACATCTACGGTGGAAATTTGCACTGGAAATGGGACGGCCAAGCACGGAAGGGCTGAACATGCCCGAGCAATGTCCAAGATCCTCCTCCTCCTCCTCCTCCTCATCCATCTTCTTCCCGGCGGCACCGAAGCACGAAAGCCGCAGCGAGGCACCGAATAAAAGGAAGAGGAAGAGGAGAAGGAGGAGAAAGGAGAGGGAGGAGGAACAAATGGGTACTGCGAGAGATGGTCTGGTGCCGCGCACACCCAACGCCCTTCCTGTCACTGCGAGCTCTGGTAAAGTGCCGCGCACGCCAGGGTGATAGGTACCGTCCGCCTCGTATGCTGCCCCTGTTCGCCAAACTCTCTGGTGCCACCCGCCTTCATGGTACTACAAGAACTGGTTAGGTGCTGTAAGCGCCGCGCCGCTTTCCCCATCATGGAAGAGAGCAGCAAATAAATAGTGAAACGTCAGCTGGCACCGCAATGGAAGGCGGCGCACCCGCGGCAATCGAAACATTTGCCCTGGGTCTTCTTCGGGTTCCCGCGTTTGCCCCTTTTTCCGCCGGTTGCCCCGCATCCCTCTTGAACCCCTAGATGCAAGCGCGACGTCGCAGGCGGGCGCGCCGCTTGGCCTGGACAGGGAAAGGGGAGGGGGGGGAGGACGAGATTTAAGAGCTGAGGGGGGAATGCAGTAGGAGCTTGACCACAAGAAACCTCGCACAAGAAACCCAACCCTGAGACCCCAGGACGTCCATATTTCTTGGCGTGGAAAAGCTACGATTTCCATCGTAAAACCATCAAAATCCAAGAAACCCAGGCCACCCTGTAGGCAAGCAGGGTGGTTCTTGGCATGGGTTCCCACGGACGAAAGGGGCGAGGGTCTGCCTGAAAACAATGCCGCTGCCTAAAATAGGCGTTCCAGCCGCTTCTGGCAGCTGAGCTCTGGCAACTCCGAACAGATGCGTTGCTGAAGAAGAGCTCAACTCCGAATCATATCGCTCGGATTGTGCTGCCTGGGGGTTCTCGGCAACTGCCGCTTGCAGTCTCTCGCGGGTTTCTGCCTGAATTGCCTCCGTGAGAGCGGCGCCCTGCGCGCCGGAGCGCGGGCGGAGCTCGGCAAAACGCGGGCTGGCCGACCACTAAAACCTGGGTGGGCTCGACCTCTGTCGCCGCGAACTCGCACTGGTCAGCCCAGACAGGATCCGTCTTGCCGCTGGTGTCCTGCCTGCCCAGGGCGCTCAGGTGGACTTTCTCTGGCAAGAAAACCAGCTAAAGAGGGCCACGGGGTCAGAAGGGGGTGCGGGGTGGGCAAAGGTGCCTGTCGCTCCATACGCATACATGAAAGCGAGACTCGATCTGTGCAGCGCGTTGCCCAGCTCACACTCCCATTCAGAGCTGGGGCTGGTGGGGGCGCCCCAAAGGTTACTGATGGATCTAACAGGGCGGGGCCCTCTGTGTCCTGCGAGAAAGCGCTGTCGCGCTGCGGACCTCGTCGCGCATGGCGGGTCCGCGAACAGATCGATCGCATGCTCATCCTTGATGAGATCCAATAAGAAACGTCTCGCACGTGAATTGGAACTACACTCTTGGACTTCATCACTGGCCAGTGGCAAGCTGAGCATGACAAGAGGAACTCTTGCGGCCAAAACCAGGCCTTCAAAATGGCATTGGTCATCCCATGAGCGGCACGGGCCGCCAAACACGTGCAGGACGCAAAAGACCAGCGACGCACTCTGCGGGTCTCGGAGCTGGGCGGATGCAAAGGAATCTGCTCTACGTTATACGCCACGGCCGGGGCTGAAATGCGCGTAGGGATCGTCCTCCTCCTGCTCATGTTCCTCCTCGTCCTCCTCCTCCTCCTCCTCCTCCTCCTTCTCCTCCTGTCTCGACCAAAACGGTGGAGCAGGCCAGCGTCCTTTGACGGCGCTGCCCCGCGGAAGTGGTTGACGAACTCCGCGTAGCCGCCGCGCGACTTGCCGCCTCTCAATCCCTCCGTCTCCTACCCTTTCTCCTCCGGCCCCTCCCCCTCGCCCCCGACCTCTGGGCAACATCACGGTGCGACGACGGAGGGTTTAGGGGGGAGGAGGAGGAACAGCGACGCCCGCCAAACGAGGAAGGAAGAAGAGAGGTCAAGACATCATTTTTTTCTATTTGTTTCCTTTTCTTGGAAAGGGGTCCTGAAATCCGTGCAGGCCGCCGCCGTGGGGCGGGGGTGCGCAAGCCTGTACGCCGTGCTCTTCACGACGAGGCGGGCGCACGTGGAGGAGGAGGGGGAGGAGGAGGAGGAGGAGGAGGAGGAGGAGGAGGAGGAGGAGGAGGAGGGGGAGGAGGAGGAGGAGGAGGAGGAGGAGGGAGGAGGAAAAGGAGGAGGAAAAGGAGGAGGAGGAGGAGGGAGAGGAGGAGGAGGGAGGAGGAAAAGGAGGAGGGAGGAGGAAAGGGAGGAGTGAGGAGGAGGGAGGGGAGGAGGAGGGAGGAGGAGGAAGGGAAGGAGGAGGGAGGAGGAGGAGGAGGAGGGCCTGGGATCACCATGAGCGCGTGGAACGTCCCCAAGACCGATCTGCTCCCAGCAGGCTGCCCCCAAGGGCTACTGTATGTCAGACGCTTCGGGGCGGCTCACGAGGCAGCTGCTCGCAAGTCGAGTGACCCTCCCCGACGTGGGGCGCCCCCCCCGCAACCGCAGCTTTTGCGAGGCGCGCGGTCGCCAGTGCTCTGCCCCCGACTCCCCACCCCCTCCACGACCCCTCTGCAGCTAATCAGAGAAGGGCGAGCGCAGGCTAAATAATCAGAGAAGGGTGAGCGCAGGAGGTGCACCCAACTCAAAGAGGAGCACACCACACGTCTATTTGCACACACACACACACACACACGCACACACATTCCAATCCATGTACTTTTGCAGGGCCCGGGACCCCGGAACAAGCGCCCCCCCCCCAACACACACCGCATTTGGCCCACCCTGGGCCTCTCGGGCAACCTTCCAGACGACCTGGGAGAACCCCACGAGAGCCTGAAGACGGCCCCAGAGGGCTCCAGGCGTTCCGGCGCGCTCCCGAAACGACCCCAGAGAGCCCCAAGACGGTCCACGACAACCCCCAAGAAGCCGCCATACCCAGAAAGATCGCTCCAAAACGTCCCAAGAGGCCTCCAAGAGCACTCCCAAGAAGGTCCCAAGAGGCACAATTCATTTGTTTGCTTTGGGTTTTGGTGAATTTTGTGGCTCTCCTCTTTTCGGCTTCCCGACGCTCCAAGACGGCGGTCTTCTGGGCGTCCGAAGCTGCCTGGGAGGCTCGAAAATCGCCTTACAACCATCCGAAAGGGCTTCCAGGCAGTCCAAGAGAGCCCCAAGACGGCACAACAGGGTTCCAAGATGGCCTAAGAGAGCCCCAGGACGGTCCAAGATCGCCCCAAGACGCCCTCCGAAGCACTCCAAATCGTGACCTGGTCGGTCAGGGAGACCGCGGTTGGAGGCAGGGTGGCCCGAGGAAGCCCCCAGAGGCCCCCAGAAGACGCGCAGGAGGCCTCCAGAAGGCCGTAAGAAAGCCTGAACAATTTCTGTGAGGCCCCCAGAAGCTTTCCAAGGAAGAGCCTTCGTAAAAAGAACTGAGGAAGATGGGGAACATGCGCAGGGTATGGCGAGATATGGCGAGAAGGAGGAAACATGAAGTTTGGAGGAAAGATAACGAATAACATTTTCATAACGGCGATGCTGGAAAAGGCAACAAGAAATTATCGCTCAATTGTCGGCTTGACATTCCTGCCATTCCGCCAACATGCCAAATTTCAAGGACCAAGTTGCATGGCACCAAGCACCACTGCAGTCAGACACACACATACATACATACAGACAGGCAGACAGACAGGCATATACATATACATATACATTTACATACACATACGCATACAACATTTACACATACGTATACATATGCATATACTTATACCTATACAGCCATATATACTTTTATATTCACATTTACATGTCCACATACACATACACATGCATGTAATATACATGTACATCTACATATTCGTTGTCATTGTCATTTACATTTGCACATACATGTACATCTACACACACACACATCTACATACATATATACATACATATCTTTATACACACGTGCACATCCGCCACTGTGCCTTCAGCACGTAGTGGAGAGCCAAGCTCATGCATCCCTGCAGCCCTGAGAGGTGAAACATTTGAAAGGTTCTTAATGGCCCGCCCCCCGATTTTCCAGCTGCTACCAGAAGCTTCTGGGAGCCCCTGGGAGCTTCTGGGAACTTCTGGGGATTCCTGAGAACTTCTGGGAGCTCCTCCGCCAGCCTAAGACGACCTCACGGATCCTCGAATGTCTCCCAAACCCCCATGGGGCTACGAAACGTGTGAGGGTGTTCCGACATGAATGGCCAGGACGCATGCGAAATGCGCCACTGCGGCCTTAGGTGGAGCTTCCTGTGGGGCCACGAAATGTGCGAGGTGGTAAGGAGGGGGAGGGGGAAGGGGGGGAGGAGGAAGGAGTGAACGCGGGGCGCTGTCTCTTCAAAACGAGGACCCAACACTAAAGGATGGTTGGGAACAACATGAAAAGGGAGAGAGCGAGGAGGAAGGAAGTGGGGAAAGGGAGGGAGGAGGGAAGGGGACACGAGGAAGGAGAGATGGAGGACGAGAGGGATCAGCAGAGGGGACGGCAAGGAAGTCTCAAGCAAAAGCGCGAATTTTGAAGAAAGTATGCGGGAATCCCACAGGAGATCGCGATGACAGAGCGCCGAGAGAACGATCCGTGAATAAGTTGTAAGGAACTCTCAGGCGAAAGCGCGATTCCTGTACACAACGCAAGGAAACGTCAAGCGAAATGCTGATTCCTCAAAAAACAAAGTAGGAAATGTGAAGCGGGAGCCGCTGTCGTTGCAAACAGGGGGCCGACACCACAATCTGAGGCCGAACGTTTTCCCTGGTTTAAAAACAAACAAGGTGCGAGCTCTGGGAGGGGTACATCCATTGAAGAACACATCTGTCACCGGAGGTGGTGATCACTCGCCATCGCTCGGACGTCCATTCCCTGTGTTTTTTTCGGTTTCGTGCGTGGTTTTTTCACCAAATGATCAAGGATGCTCCTCGATGGCCCTCGCCGAAAAAATGCACACGTCCGAGTGATGCCAGGATCAACAAAACAGTTTTTAACCATAAGCAGCATTTCATAACACTATTCGCTCTTCGTTGCTCGCGTGTCATTCAACATGTATTCCCCCCCCCGGCACTCGCCCTTTTAATCTTCGATCGTGCCCCCCTTGGGGGTATCGTCTTTCTCTGCCAGGTGTAGTTGGCGCAGCTCCTGAGGCAAGGGGAGGGAGGGAGGAAGGACAATGGGGGAGGGAGAAGGATGGAGCACGAGAGAAATTAGCAGGAAGGGGGTTAGGAACATAATGACAAGCGGCAAAACCAGACGGGTGGGTCGGGCGGGCAGGTCCTAACGGGAAGGTTAGGCGGGCGATCCCAGACGGCCTGGTCGAGCGGGCGGATCGCTGAATCGTCAGTCCTGCATGCACGAATCGCGAGGAAGTCTCAGGCGATAGCGCGATTCCCAAACAACATCGTGAGGCAGTCCAGAGCGAGAGCGCGATTCCTGAGTGTCCAGGGCGCGGCGTCACAATGAATTGCGAAGAAATCCCACGCAAGAGCGCGATTGCATGTACTGTCAGGGCGTCCCGCGCGAGAACGCAATTGAACATACATTGTGAGTGAGTATCTGGCGGGAGCCGCTGTTGTTGTAAACCAAGGGCTGCGGGCACAATCTGAGGCCCAATACTTCCCCTCGTTAGAAGAAGAGGGTGCGAGCCACGGGAAGCGCATTTCAACCGAAAAAACACAAACAATACTGGAGGGGGGATCAACAACATTTTTTGGTGATGGGCCAACTACTGACAAACAAACACAATCCGCGCCGCGGAATCTCGCTTGAGCCGGGCCAGGCATCCTGGGACGATGACCGCTCGGCCTGCTCAGTCTGATAATGTACATGAAAATATTCCAGACAGAGAGAGTGAGAGAAAACAAATATTTAAAAAAGGTAAAGGGAGGGAGAGAGGAACACATCACGAGTAAGAGGGACCCCTGCCCTCCCCTCCTTTCTCCTCCTTTCCCCGCCCCCTCCTCCCGCACTCCTCGGGGATCTTCTGACCCCGGGTCAGCCAATATGCGCGGCCGCCTCGCGGCCACGAGCGGCTCGCTAACCCGGGTCAGCCAGAGGGGGTCTTCGCAGGATCCTGCAGGATCCGGCGCCCTGGCTGACCCCCGTCTGCACTGACCCCCGTCTCGAGGCTCCCGAACTCCTCCCCGTCCTCTTCCCCCGGCTTCCCACAGCGTGGGCGCGGGTGCTCCTCCTGCCGCAGGACTCGCCGGTGGCGCCAGCGATCCGGGCGGCGCTGGCGGCCAGAGGCGGCACTTGGTTGCAGGATGCTGCGGCGGTGGCACAGACGTACGGCGTGTCCGCGCCCCCGCTCCACCTGGCCGACGCGGCGGAGGCGGGGCCGAAGGCCAGGCGGCAGGCGGTTCGCTCGTGGGCCCGCGCGGCGGTGTTGCCGAAGATCCGCGAGGCGGAGCGCGCGTGGTTCTGTGAACAGCTGGGCAAGCTCAACGACAACGGGCTGCTGCCCATCGCCGAGGTGCTGCCCTTGCAAAGGCAGTGGCCCGTCGACCTTCGATGGGCCGGGTGGGGGAAGTCGACGTGGAGATTTCACAGGGCCTGGTGCGTGGCACGCGTGACCTCGGAGATCCCTGCGGACGTCTGGGGGCTTCCCCAAACGAGGCTTCCGCAGATATGCGCCCTCTGCGCGGGCGCGCCGAACAGCCTCGAACACCTGCTGGCCCAGTGCCCCGCTGGCCGAGGCCTCCGGGACGCGCTCTGCGAGCGGTGGCCCCTCGGCTCTGACGCCGTGGCCGCGTGGGTGCTGCGCGACGCGGACGCCCTCGACGCGCTCGCCGAGAAGGTCCGCTACCTCGGGCTCCTCACCGCCACCCTCGTGCACGCGTGCGGGTGCGCGGGGCGCGCGGCGTGACCACGGCAAGGCGGGGTCGCACAAAAACATGCTATTGCATAAGCCTACGGGTCCTCCCCGGCCTGCGGGCCCCTCCCCTGGCCTGCGGGCCCCTCCCTGGCCTGCGGGCCCCTCCCCGGCCTGCGGGCCCCTCCCCGGCCTGCGGGCCCCTCCCCGGCCTGCGGGCCCCTCCCCGGCCTGCGGGCCCCTCCCCCCTCGTCGTCCTTCTCCGCCTCTTCGTCCTCCTCCTCCGCCCGGCCCTCCCTCTTCTCCGTCTTCTTCCTCTCCGTACTCCGGCCTGCTGCTCTCCAGGGCCAGGTCCTGCGGGACAACGCCCCCACCCTGGAGCCGCGGGGATATAGGCCCTGCGGGGTGTTTCCACCCGGCCCGGGATGGACGCTACCCTGCGGGGTATAACCACCTACCGAATGCTCAACCGAATGCTCCTCCCTCCCTCCATCCTGCTCCTTCCCCCCCTCCCTCCCTGCTTCTTCCTGCAGCCGTGCCCCCTCTTCCGTCCTCCCCTCCCTCCTCCCCCTCCGGACGGCGAGAGAGAACGCGGCGCCCCCAGCGCTGTTCACGCCGCCCACGCCACCAGCACGGCATGCACACCTCTGCTGCGAGGAAGCGCTCGTGGGGCCCGCGCCCCTCAAACCAGCGCACCGTGCGGCGACGACGCTGCCACACGTGCGCCCCGCCTCGCCGTTGCAGCTGGGCGGAGCACGGGGGCAGATGCTCGGCGCGAGCGGTGCCGTGGGGCCAGACCCGGCCAGCGCCGGCGCCTATAGCCACTCTGGAGCGCCGACCGCATCCGTCCGAGATGGCCGCAGCCGGCCGATGCTTCGGCGAGCGCCCGTCCGCAACGACGAAGCCAGGACGAGGATAAAAGGGGGTGAAGATGCATCGAGATCCTCGGAGACTCTCGGGCGCCGCGGCCTCCTCAGAGCGTCACGCAACGCTCTGAGAGCGTTTCGGAACACTCTGGAGCGGAACGATCCTCGTCCTGGGCCCGTCCGATGTGGGCCCGCGCCGTGCTGTGTGCAAGAATGTTGCTTCCGTGCGCTGGTCTCAGGCCGCAGGGCCCACGCCGCTCCACAGTTTTACCTCACGAGGTCTCACGAGTCCCACGAGTTAGAAGACCTCGTGCGCAATGGGCGTGTCTGTGTCGTATCAGGTGGAAGGCCCGAGTGCAGAACGATGGAATTGGCGCGAGGTCGACGGTCCACGCCTGCCAACACCACTGAGGACGACCCATCGCCACCTGGCGACAGCACTGCCAGTGGCTCATCGTGAACCAACTGCTGGCAGGTCACGTGCTGCCTGCTGCTGCCTGCCTGCAAGCTGGCACAATGGGGCCAGCTGGAAATCCAGCGCGGATACGATGGGAAACCGCGGGCGGTTCGCCCTCGGTACGGCACGGCATAGAAGCACACGCGCTCCTATCCAGTCGTGCCAGTACGCTGCCTTCCTTCCTTCGACTGGTGCACGTGTGGACAGCACGCTAGACCACATCTTTGGCCGTGCGCATGCCTGCGCCCCACATCCTCAGACCCTGTCGTTGGCACCTGGTGCGCTACACCCAAGCAGTGTTATCCTCGACAGCCATGCCACATTATTGCGACTGCACTCAGGACCAGCTTCGATAGGGCATGGAACACCGTTGACGACACCGCGCATCACTTCGAAGACGTGCCCGACCAGCTTCCGAAAGTTTGCAAGCCGCTGACCTATACAAGCCGCAAGGTGAATTTGAGGCCCACGCCGCCAGGACTGCGATGGACTTCTCGGCGCACACCAGACCACGGTAACCGTCAATATAACATTCGCTTCCAACTCAGCAAACATCACCCGACGCAAGCCGATCCGCATCCAATGCCAACGGACGGCTCTGGTCCTAACCATAATGTGCACCCTCCCTTTGAAGGTCATGGTTTACAGATGCCCGACGTACGCACTCCACTGGTGATGCGGGCAGATTGGCTGGGGTCTCGCCGCTTGGCAACCTTTCCAAACACAGCACAAGCGCGAACAGGCCTCGCAACGCCGACGCGAACGTGCCGCAACCGCTCAATACGTCAAACAACTCAACGATCATTTTTTTCTATACGTATGCTCGTCCGTTTAATTTCGATTCCGCTGCCGACTCAGAGTGATCAGTGCGACCTGACTGGTCTTCCGGCCACCCCCGACTGGCAATGACGGTGCCCTTCGTCTTCCCATCTCCACATCCACCACCTACCACCCGCCAGAGTGACGAGATGGTACGTATCCAGACGACACCTCTATGCAGCTAACATCCCCCAACTACTATCCTGCCTACGTCCGCTGCGGTGCCCCGCGGGCACAAGGGCGGCGGCCTCCCTCTTGGTGAGGGGCCGCAGAGGACGGGCTCGTCTGGCCCCTGAACTTCGGTGCACAAGAAGCACAGAGCGACGGGCACCTCGAGACGCGCAGGCGTCGAGCCAATATGTCGACTGCACTGCCTAGTGAGGTGCCTGAGGCCGCCTGTCATGTATAGCTCGAACGTGCGACACTCGAGACTCGACACTCCTCCCTCCGTCCCCCTTCCATTCTCCCTTCTCCTTCCTTCCTCTTTCATCCGCCCTTCCCTCACCCTTGGCAAGTCGCATGGTTTCCTTATTCATTCCTTCTTCATTTCTCTTCATGTTCCTCCTCCTCCTCCACCTCCTCCTCCTCCTCCTCCTCCTCCTCCTCCTCCTCCTCCTCCTCCTACTCCTCCTCCTCCCCCTCCCCCTCCTCTGCCTCCCCCTCCTCTGCCTCCCCCTCCTCTGCCTCCCCCCCTGCTTCCTGGCAGATATTTCCTCCCTGTCGCGCCACCAGCCGTGTCGGTAGGCCAGGCTGGGCGTTCTGCCGGAAAGCCCCTGACCATGCATGAGCCTGCAGCTGGAAGCTTCCAACAGCTACCAGGAGCATGGAGGTACGGCAGGTTCGTGTCGTTCCGACGTCGGCGTTGCTGACATCGCGGGGATCGATCAACCTTGAACGATCGGCCGTTCCCGAAACGTCGGATCGTTCAGCATCGATCGATTTTAGGTTGCCGGCGCCGTTCAACGTTGAACTCCAGCGGCGGGGTCGCTGCCGGTCAACACGATGCGAACCTACCGTATTCATGGATCCCCAATCAGAGCTTGCCTCTGTAGAGGTTCTAGCGGACTCATATGGTTAGGTTAGGTTTGCCGCCGATTTTCGCTGCACGCCCGGGTGCCCGGGTGCCTGGGGGTGCCCGGGTGCCCGGGTGCCCGGGTGCCCGGGTGCCCAGGTGCCTGGGTGCCCGGGTGTCCGGGTGCCCAGGTGCCCGGGTGCCCGGGTGCCTGGTGCCCGGTAGCCCTATAGCCTTAGCCTTATAGCCATACAGCCCTATAGCCCTATAGCCCTAAAGCGCTATAGCCTTATAGCCCTATAGCCATTCAGTCCTGATAGCACCATAGCCTTGTAACCTATAACCCTATGGCCCTATATCCCTGTAGCACCATAGCCTTACCCTACAGCCGTATAGCCCTATAGTCCCGTAGCCCTATAGCCCTACAAAGATTATGATTGGGCTTTTTCTCCAGTATCATTTGGTATGGAAAATTGGACTCCAGCGTCAGCGCCGAACACATTCGTCTCAACAGTTTGCAACACCTACAAGAAAGGAGGGCGGCCCTTTTCAACATTAGCTCTCCACACGGCGCCGTGCGCAGTCGTCTGCAACATTTGCAGCAGCTACAGGGATGGAGGGCGGTGCCTCTTCTGCATGGAGATCTCGCCTTAGCGCCACACGCACTCGTCTCAAACACTGCAACCACTACAAGGGTGGAGGGCGCTACGTTTTCAATTTGTGGCTCTCCCCGTAGCGCGGCGCACATTCGTCTCAGATGCTTGTCACAGTTGAACGAATGACGGGCGGTATATTTTCAGAATGGTGCTCTTGCTGGGGACTTCCTCAAGCTTGGCAGCCAGAACCTTGGCAATCTGTCATGGATGCCCGGATGGAGGGCGGCTCATTTTCAAAAGAGGTCTCTAGCTTGAGCTTTCCTCAAATGTGATAACCAGAACTGCGACATTCAGTATGCAACCATTGCACGAATGGGGGGCGGTTCCTTTTCAGAACGGAACTCTCGTTGGACACCTCGTTGAACTCTGATAAGCTATATGTCGGCATTCCGTGAAACTCGCTAGAAAGATGCACATCAACTCCTTTTCGAAACGGGACTCTCACTTGAATGGCAAGCCCATCGCGTGCTCGTCTTCAAGGGGGCGCTTCTTGAAACGAGAAGGAAGGCTTGTAGGGACTTGTGAAGAAGGGACTCGGGTCGGGATGGTGCATTGCAGCATCGTGGATGCATCCTGGGTGTACAGTACCATGGTTCTCCTCGTCGTCGTCCTCCTCCGCCTTCTCCTCCTCTTCTCTCCTCTCCTCTCCTCTCCTCTCCTCTCCTCTTCCTCTTCCTCCTCCTCCTCCGCCGCCGCCGCCACCGCCTCCTCCTCCTCCTCCTCAGACTCCTCCTCCTCCTCCTCCTCCTCCTCCTCCTCCTCCTCCTCCTCCTCCTCCTCCTCCTCCTCCTCCTCTCTGCCGCCTGACATGGTGTCGAAGACCGCGTTTGCCGCTTGGAAACTCCCTTCGCTGCTGACCAGCAAGCCAGTGTCGACGCCCGGGAGGAGCCTGGAAGGGTCGAGGAGCACAGCGACCTCTGGGTCCTGGCAGGGTCGATGAGTCCACGCGGTTGGATGATCCTCCGCCCCCTTTATCTTCGTCGTCGTCGTCCTCCTCCTCCTCCACTTGGTGAGACGATCCTTCTCCACTCCCCCCGCGCCTCATCCTGCTCCTTCTCCTCCTTCTCCTCCTCGTCATCATTCCCCTTCTCCTCCTCTCCTCCTCCTCCTCCTCCTCCTCCTCCTCCTCCTCCTCCTCCTCCTCCTCCTCCTCCCCCTCGGCTCCTTTTCTCCCTATATACCACATTGGAAAGGCGCAACAATGGGAAGGGAGCACTCTCCGTGGTGAAGCGGCCCTCCCCCTTGCTCTGTTTCCTCCCTCCCCTCCGCTCCGCTTCCCTACTTTTATCCCTGCGTGGGACCACTGGAACCATTTATCGCGCCTCTCCTTGTTGATGGCGGCGATGAAGGCGACGAACTCCAGCTTGGAGATCGAGCCGCTGCCGTCCGCATCGATGCGTCTCCAGATGTCTTTCAGCATGCTGATGTCTGCGTCCTCGCACGCGGACGCCAAAGGGAAGCCAACCGAGGTGGACACGATGGTGTGCGTGCCAGGTCCGCGGGGATGGCCTACACTTTTTCCTGCTGCAGCTGTCGTGTACGAGCCACCGTATTGCTGTGTCTGGCCCCGCCCTGGGCCTTCACCCCGAGGCCTGGCGCCCCGGGGCTCTCCCCCTTGGGCCGCGCGAGGGCCCGGGGGGGTCTTGCTCCGGGGCCGCGCGCGCGGCTACCCCTCCCTGACTCCTGATCCGCCCTACTTTGGGCGATTTCGAAAGTAGGGCGGAAATTTCCGCCCTACTTTTAAGGCCCCTTTGAGCGTCGATTTCCGCCCTTGAGGCTCCTTTGGCGTCGATTTCCGACACAATTTCAGGTCGGAAAATCATCCAAAGTACGGCGGATCAGGAGCCAGGGCTGGGCCTTCGTCGGGGATCTTCTGACAGGGGTCAATCCAGACTCGGGTCAGTCAGGCCTTGCAGAATCCTGTAAGATCCTGCGCTCAAACTGAACCTGGGTCGACGCGAAGGATCCTGCAGAATCCTGCAGGGTCCTGCGCCGAAGCCCGGGTCAATGCGACCCTGTCCCTGCAGAATCCTGCAAGATCCGGCGCTCTGGCTGACCCCCGTTTGCATTGACCCCCCTCCCCAGACCCCCGACGTTGTGTTTTTTTCACAACGTCGACCCCCAGATTTCTGGACCCCTCCCCCGGGACCAGTTTTTCGTCCAACGTCGTTATTTGACGGTCCCGAGGCCCGGTAAGTGCCCCCGGAGGCCGAAAATAGCGAAAAACCTCCCGTCGTGTTTTTTCACAGCGCGAGGAGGTCAGGGTCTCAAGGCTCCCGACTTCGCCCCGGGGGCGCACGGCCGGGGGCGTACGGCCGGCTATAGCCTCACCGCAGCGCGGGTTCCCCGAGCCTGCACAAGCACCGTCCCGATTGCGAGCGCGAGCGGGGACGGCCGGCATGTGCGCCACCAGCGCAACCCCGCTGGCGCGAGTGCAACAAATTGGCCCACGAGGGCCCACTGTGGGACATTTCTAACCTGCCGCTGGATGCGCGACCCAGAGATCCAACGTATTCAAAAAAACCAAGACGCACATTTTTCGTAACTTTCGTCCTCAAGGGGCCCTCGCCGGGCCCCGGGACCGTCAAAAATGACTCAGGATGAAAAACCAGTCTTGGGGAATGGGTCGAGACCTCTGGGGACCCCGTATTGAAAAAATCACGACGTCGGATCTCTGGGTGTGAGACGATTCTAACCTGCCGCTGGATGCGCGACCCTTGTGATGCATGTTCTTTTTTCCGAAGGCAGCGACTGCTTCTCAGAGCCCCGCCGCCTTCTGTTCGGGGGCGCGCAAACATGGATTAGCGATCCATGGATCTGGCGCGCGGTCGCCAAATCCATGTATCGGGGGAGGTGCCCTCCCCAAAATGCGGCCAGTGCGGCCTCGTTCGGCGGCGGAGGTCCGCGATTTCCCATGGAAACGGGACCCGTGGCTAATCCACGCCCCCTTAATGCATGTTTGCGATCGCCTGAGACAGTGGGAGTCGCTGCATCTCTTCGAGCCGCTGCCTTGTCGTCCCCCCTCCTGGGGTGCCCTATGGACTCCGGGATCAACGCCAACAAGCCTCCCTGACAGGCCCCGGGGAGGGCCAAAACTGATGACTGCCTTCTCGTCTCTGTGGGCTCCAGAAGGCTTCTTCTCAGGAAACAGGGGGTGGCCTCATAGGGACCCAAAAGGCCCAAGACATCCCCAATTCGCCGGCCCAACGGGCCAGAGGCGTGCTAAGGTCTCCGGTAACTGGTTAACAGTATCTCTAGTTCGCGCGCGCGGGGCGGCCCCTGGGGGTCCCCGGACGAAAAGTACCCCGGGCGATCCCCGACCGATCCCCGGGAGA